GGGCGAACTCTGGCCAATAAGTCTACGTTCAGACTGCAGGGCTTAACGCTCAGTTCCGATTTTGTTTGTGAAATCCGATGTTTTTGCGAGGTCGTTCACATTTCCAATTAAATGTGACTTGTATGTGACTCCAGTGTGAACGTTAAACGTCCCAAAAGTGTCCCACATGTGACACTGGAGACACGACGACGTCAACCGCAGCGAGCGTCTCTGTGTTTACAGAAGTTGTCCAAACATGGACGCAGCATCGAGCACCTGGAGATTTTAAAGTTCCTCTCGTACCGGAGCCAGAACATGAACAACTTACTTGTTTTAAGGAGGAGATTGAGAAGGAGAAGGACGAGGTTTTTGGTCGTGGTGTTTTGTGGGACAGCGGCAGCGACGTCCGTTGAAAGAAACGTGTGGATGTGGAGACGGAGCCAAGAGTGGTGAGTGGTGATGTGCTTCACTTCAGTGACACGGAGTTCATTAACAATTTTCACCTACTTCAGCACAGAATAGTGACGTTTGTGTCTTGTTGATAACGTGTAGGTGGATGAATGCACTTTGACCGTTCAGACTGAAGTCACATGTCAAAAGATCAGATATGTATCCGGTTTCAGGAGCACATATCTAAGTGTCCTGGGTCACATTTGAAAAAATCGAATCTGTGTCGTTCACACTGTCATTAAAAGATCAGATACAGGAACATAGAGGCCAAGAAAATCGGATTTGGGTCACTTCAGGCTGCAGCCTATGAGACACCCCTCCAAATCAGATATTCTCTGATTTTATAGTTTCTATAAGCCATCCCCTTTCGTAACCTGATCACTTATTGTCCAAGGTTTTAAGCGTTTCCAGATGTTATCTGTATGTTTATCTTACATAGGGTGACCATATTTCCGTTTGTGAAAACCCGGACACCTTGGGGTGGTGGGGTCCCTTGCTATATTGGCGGTTCACCTTTCGCGGTCTCACTGTTTCTCAGATTTTTATTTTTTTTTTTTACAGTGTATGACCGTGTATTGTGTATTACAGGCAGGTAGTAATTACACACGGGTGGGTCAGGATTAAACCAGGTCTAAACCAGGACTAATCTTGGATTTAAGAGAGAGAACGTCGAGCAGTTTGTCTGCAAAGCGCGATCGGGCAATTGCCGCGTTTACCTCTGTGAGGTGCGGAGCTGAGCCGGTCCTTTCTCCTGCGTCACCTCCGAGCCCGTCCTGACAGTGAGTCCTGTTTCAGTCGTGGATTAGTCCTGGGTTAGTACTGGTTTAGTCTTGGTTCATTTCGTGGCGTAGGCAGCGCAAAAGTTTGATATAATCTCGGGTTAACGGGCAGGTGCGGTCCTGTACTGGCGGGTGCGGTCCTGTACTGGCGGGTGCGGTGTTGTACTGGGGGTCTCCAAAAATGAACCCGTGCAGGACTCTGTGCTGTCGGGCTCCATTGGGGAATAAATTAATCTTTGGTTCGTTACATAAAGAAGGAGGAAAATAACAAAAGGACGACAGCAGCAACAAGTTTTAAGAAGGATGTAAAAAGTGTTGTAACTGTGTGAGAAAAGTGTATAAAGTTTGTGCTGAGGGGTTTTACAGCCTTAACACAGATAGAATAATTGTAAAACATAAAGTTGAATACATTGCAGATTTCACCTATCGCGGGTTATTTTTAGAACGTAACCCCTGCTAAACGAGGGACCACAGTATCCGGAATAATTCCATAACTGGGATACTGATGTGAATGTAAACAATGTTCCACACTCTTTTCACAATATTATTTACACCAAACATCCCAACCCGGTGTGTCCCAGTTTAGAAAATAGTGAAAACCTGGTCTCCCTGGTGCAGATACGAGAGAACCAGGACTAACCTTGGGCCCAGTATAAATAATAGTGTAAAACTGCTGTGTGACTTGTGCTGGTGATTGTGTAGCTGCAGATGGGTTTGTGCGGCGCTGAATACAGAGTGACCCTGTTTGAGACGCGTCCTCCTCCGTTAGTATTCACAGAGCTGCTGCCACACGCACTCACTTTGCATTTTTAATCTGCTCATAAATAACTGTGTACATCTGTCTGAAAGCATTAGAGTCATGTGACTGTTACACGCTCGGACCACAGGGGGCGCTCTGGGGCGGCAGACGCAGAGAGGCACAACGGGATTTATCTCACAGTCTTTTCTGAACGCAGTTATGCCACAAAACAGACACTGTGCACTGGAAAAGACGCTAGAAATGACTGTAAACAGAACGATATATTCTGTCGTTTCATAAACAGGTTTAGGTTCAGTTTAGGAGCAGGTTTGGGCAGATTTGCCTCCCAGGTCTTTGAAGAAGTGCACTGTGGGAAAAGAATGATGCAGATTGTGTTGGTGTATTTTGACCAGTTTCTCCTCTAAATCTTTTTATTTATAAATTTTATATATATATATATTATATATATTTTTGTATTAAATAGACAAAATAAAGATAGTAAACATCACAATGTAACAACATAACAATAAATATACAAATTTAAATAAAATCATAATTTATATACACACACATATATATACGTATATATGTACAAACATACATACATACAGAGTTGGGAAGGTGACTTTTAAAATGTAATCCCCTACAGATTACATAGCCCAAAATGTAGTTTGTAACGGAATCCATTAAATTACTTAAAGTGAGTAATGTAATCTGAATACTTTGGATTATTTGATTTGCCGTATTAAAAATATTATTGATAGAAGAAGAGGAGACACGTCCACGCGGCAGGATTTAGTCCTGTTAAATCCTATTTTAGACCTGGTTTAGTCCTGTTTTTTGTCCTGGTTTAGTCCTGGTTTTTGTCCTGGTTTAGTCCTGGTTTTTGTCCTGGTTTAGTCCTGGTTTAGATCTGGTTTTAGACCTGTTTTAGATCTGGTTTAGACCTGGTTTAGCTCTAGTTTAGACCTGGTTCCTGCAATGAGTGGTATTGCCGAGAAAAAAAAAATTCTCTTCATTTGTTTCCATCTTTTACTCAAATGGCGAATTTGCCTCTGAAAACAAATCTTTCTAAAAACTCCGTCTAAAGTGGAGATTGTGGAAAACTCTGATTTGTTTGTAAAGTGATGAACAGAATTTAAGGAGCTGATGTGCCAAAAGTGTGACCAGTGTTTCCCTTTTGCTCTGATGATGATGATGACGAAGCATCAGAGCAGCAGTCGTGTTTCTGCTGAAACACTTTTCACGTGTTTGTATTTGCACATGTAGATGTGTGTATCTGATGTGTCCATGACCAGAGACCAATGAGGCTTGAACAGATCTGTGGAGAGGCGAGCACGCTCACTAATGCACGCTGTTTTTCCAGGTATTTGTGAGTAAAACTTACAACTGTAATGAAATAAAAAAGCTACAGGTTTGAATCTGATCCAGGCCCAGAGGTCTGGTGTAGTTCTGACGGTGCTGGATGCTGTATTTACGCTGGTCGATGTAAATGAAAACGATGGGGTTTGCACGATTGTTATTTAGGAAAACGGAGGGAGCGAGATATTCCTTTTGTCAACATACCAGACTATGTGTAAACGTAGCCCTGTACACACATATTGCTCTGTAACGTGTATTTGTGACAAATGTCTGTGAAAAACACTATATAAATAAAACAACTTACTTAATTGCTTACACACACACACACACACACACATATATATATATATATATTATATATATATACATCCGTCCATTTTCTTCCGTTTATCTGGGGCGGGTCGTGGGGGCATCAGCCTAAGCAGGGACTCCCAGACTTCCTTCACCCCAGACACATCCTCCAGCTCCTCCGGGGGCATTCCCAGGCCAGCCCAGAGACATAGTCCCTCCAGTGTGTCCTGGGTCTTCCCCGGGGTCTCGCCATGTCCTCCCAGTGGAACATGCCGGGAACACCTCCCGAGGGAGACGCCCAGGAGACATCCGGAACAAATGCCCGAGCCTCAACTGGCTCCTTTCGACGTAGAGGAGCAGCGGCTCTACTCCGAGCTCCTCCCGTGTGACTGAGCTCCTCACTCTATCTCTAAGGGAGACGCCCAGACACCCTGCGGAGGAAACTCATTTCGAGCGCTTGTATCCACGATCTCGTCCTTTTCGGTCACTACCCAGAGCTCATGCAGATGCTGTTCATTGTTTTTATGGACAGAATTTCTAGGCGCGCAGTCAGGGGCCGGAGGGGGTCCGGTTTGGGGACCGCAGGATTTCATCTCTGCTGTTCGCAGATGATGTTGTCTTGTTGGCTCCATTGAACCAGGACCTGCAGCACGGGGGCAGTTTGCAGTGAAGTGTGAAGCGGCTGGGATGAAGATCAGCTCTTCCAAGTCCGAGGCCATGGTTCTCGACCGGAAAAAGGTGTCTTGTCGTCTCCGGGTGGTGGAGAGTCCCTGCCTCAAGTGGAGGAGTTCAAGTATCTCAGGGTCTTGTTCACGAGTGAGGGGAGGATGGAGCGTGAGATTGACACACGCACACACACACACATATATATATATATATACACACTACACACACACACACACACACACACACACACACACACATATATACAATGGGAGCAGGAGCCAAGTCAGGTGGATTCCCAGGAGTTTCTGAACACACAAGAGAATAGACCTTGCTGAGTTTCCAGGTTGGATGTGATTCAAACGATGTCAAAATCCATCAGAAATGTGCTAAATGTGGGGCCACAGTTATTCCAGCTCTCACAGATGAATGTTGTTGTGTGTGGGCAAGACACTTAATGCCCCCTGTGTGTGTGTGTGTGTACTCTGGTGTGTGAAAGTGTGTGAATGGGTGTAAATCGCTTTAAGGTGGAAACGAGTTATATAAAAATATGACCTTTTGCCATTTAAATAAAACATGTCTTTGAAAGTCTTGGTCGAGTTTCAAGTATCACAAAGTGAACGGTCTGACAAATAAACATAAAAGTTCAGAAATATCACTGCTTTGGAAGAACACACTGATCTTTTTTCAGCAACATAACCACTTCCTCTCACCAGTTTCCTCTTTCTCTTTTGCAGTTCATTGCGTTCGCCTCCCTCTTCTTCATCCTGGTCTCCATCACCACCTTCTGCCTGGAGACGCACGAAGCCTTCAACACCATCATCAACAAAACCGAACTGCTCCTCAACTCCAGCATCCCCGACTCCGGGCCTCAGTACGAGATCGAGACCGACCCGGCGCTGACCTACGTGGAGGGCGTCTGCGTCTTCTGGTTCACCATCGAGTTCCTGGTCCGAGTCACGTTCTGCCCCTGCAAGCTGGAGTTTGTCAAAAACGCCTTGAACATTATCGATTTTGTGGCGATTTTACCGTTTTACTTGGAGGTGGGATTAAGCGGATTGTCGTCCAAAGCTGCTAAGGACGTGCTGGGTTTCCTCAGGGTGGTACGCTTTGTTCGTATCCTTCGTATTTTCAAGCTCACGCGCCATTTTGTGGGCCTGCGGGTGTTGGGGCACACGTTACGAGCGAGCACAAATGAATTCTTGCTCCTTATAATCTTCCTGGCTCTCGGGGTGCTCATTTTCGCCACCATGATCTACTACGCCGAGAGGATAGGAGCCAAGCCCAACGACCCCACCGCCAGCGTGCACACCAAATTCAAAAACATTCCCATTGGGTTCTGGTGGGCGGTCGTTACCATGACGACGCTGGGTTACGGGGACATGTACCCGGAGACGTGGTCGGGGATGGTGGTGGGCGCGCTGTGTGCCTTGGCGGGCGTGTTGACGATAGCCATGCCCGTGCCCGTCATCGTCAATAACTTTGGGATGTATTATTCGTTGGCGATGGCGAAACAGAAGCTGCCGAAGAAACGTAAGAAGCACATCCCCCAGGTGCAGGGCGGCTCCCCGTCCTACTGCAAAGCAGAACTCAACCTGAGCTGCAACAGCACCCAGGGAGACCTGTGCCACATGAAGGGCAGCCGCATCCTCGACTGCAACCGCTCAGGTAACACACACGTGCACACAAGTCACACACACACACAGGTAACACACACACACACAGGTAACACACACACACAGGTAACACACAATCACCTACACACACAGGTAACACACACGTGCACACAAGTCACACACACACACAGGTAACACACACACACAAGTAACACACACACAGGTAACACACACACACACAGGTAACACACAATCACCTACACACACAAGTAACACACACACACACACAGTAACACACACACACACAAGTAACACACACACACAGTACACACACACACACACAGTAACACACACACACAGGTAACACACACACACACAGGTAACACACACACACACAGGTACACACACACAATCACCTACACACACAAGTAACACACACACACAGGTAACACACACACACAGGTAACACACAATCACCTACACACACAAGTAACACACACATGAAGGGCAGCCGCATCCTCGACTGCAACCGCTCAGGTAACGCACACGTGCACACAAGTAACACACACAATCATACACAAGTAACACATATAGGTAACGCACACACACACACATAGCCGCATCTTCGACTGCAACCGCTCAGGTAACGCACAATCACACACACACTTAACACAGTCACACATAAGTAACACACACACAGGTAACATAAACACACAGGTAATGCACAATCACACACAGGTAACACACACACACAGGTAACACACAATCACCTACACACACACAAGTAACACACACATGAAGGGCAGCTGCATCCTCGACTGCAACCGCTCAGGTAACACACATGTGCACACAAGTAACACACACACACAGGTAACACACAATCACCTACACACACAAGTAACACACACACACAGGTAACACACACACACACAGGTAACACACACACACAGGTAACACACACACACACAGGTAACACACACACACACAGGTACACACACAATCACCTACACACACAAGTAACACACACACACAGGTAACACACACACACAAGTAACACACAATCACCTACACACACAAGTAACACACACATGAAGGGCAGCCGCATCCTCGACTGCAACCGCTCAGGTAACGCACACGTGCACACAAGTAACACACACAATCATACACAAGTAACACATATAGGTAACGCACACACACACACATAGCCGCATCTTCGACTGCAACCGCTCAGGTAACGCACAATCACACACACACTTAACACAGTCACACATAAGTAACACACACACAGGTAACATAAACACACAGGTAACGCACAATCACACACATGTAATGCACTCACACAGGTAAACACATATACACTCACACACACAGGTAACACACACATACACAGGTAACGCACACACACACACACAGGTAACGCACAATCACACACATGTAATGCACAAATGCAGGTAAGACACACTCACAGGTAACACACACACATACACAGGTAATGAACACATACAGGTAATGCACACTCAGGTAACACACATACATACACAGATAACGCACACACAGGTAACGCATACACACACAAGTAACACACACACAGGTACAGGGCCGGTCCTGGAGGGGGCCGATGGGGCAGACGGCCAGAGGGCCATTTTGTGGGGGGCACTCCCCCTCAGCTATGTCCATATATAAAATATATAAATATAAATAGAGTCTGTGCTGTAGCCGCAGTTACAGGTCAGATCTGTGGAGTCTGGCCTCAGATGTAAACGTCCGTTTCGAGGCGTTGTAAACTCTATTAGATTTGAAATAAACGTGTGTCACATTGTGTTTGTGTGTGTGTGTGTGTGTGTGTGTGTGTGTGTGTGTGTGTGTGCGCAGTGCTGTCTGCAGACTGCAGCGGGGGCAGTGACCTCACCATGTCCTCAGAGGAGAGAGACCCCATGAGGCGCTCCAGTCCCCGAGAACAGGAACTGCGCGGGGGAACGTGCTTCCTGCTCGCCGCCAGGGACTACTGCCCCGCCGACGGAGGTCTGAGAAAGACAGGTACATACACACACCTGAGGAGGACAGGTACATACACACACCTGAGGAACACAGGTACATACACACACCTGAGGAGGACAGGTACATACACACACCTGAGGAACACAGGTACATACACACACCTGAGGAGGACAGGTACATACACACACCTGAGGAGGACAGGTACATACACACACCTGAGGAGGACAGGTACATACACACACCTGAGGAGGACAGGTACATACACACACCTGAGGAACACAGGTACATACACACACCTGAGGAAACACAGGTACATACACACACCTGAGGAGGACAGGTACATACACACACCTGAGGAGGACAGGTACATACACACACCTGAGGAGGACACAGGTACATACACACCTGAGGAGGACAGGTACATACACACACCTGAGGAGGACAGGTACATACACACACCTGAGGAACACAGGTACATACACACACCTGAGGAGACAGGTACATACACACACCTGAGGAACACAGGTACATACACACACCTGAGGAGGACAGGTACATACACACACCTGAGGAGGACAGGTACATACATACACACACCTGAGGAACAGGTACATACACACACCTGAGGAACACAGGTACATACATACACACACCTGAGGAGGACAGGTACATACACACACCTGAGGAGGACAGGTACATACACACACCTGAGGAGGACAGGTACATACACACACCTGAGGAGGACAGGTACATACACACACCTGAGGAACACAGGTACATACACACACCTGAGGAACACAGGTACATACACACACCTGAGGAGGACAGGTACATACACACACCTGAGGAACACAGGTACATACACACACCTGAGAAAGATGGGTACATACACACACCTGAGAAAGACAGGTACATATACACACCTGAGGAGGACAGGTACATACACACACCTGAGGAACACAGGTACATACACACACCTGAGAAAGACAGGTACATACACACACCTGAGGAACACAGGTACATACACACACCTGAGGAGGACAGGTACATACACACACCTGAGGAGACAGGTACATACACACACCTGAGGAGGACACAGGTACATACACACACCTGAGGAACAGGTACATACACACACCTGAGGAGGACAGGTACATACACACACCTGAGGAAGACAGGTACATACACACACCTGAGGAGGACAGGTACATACACACACCTGAGGAGGACACAGGTACATACACACACACCTGAGGAGGACAGGTACATACACACACCTGAGGAGGACAGGTACATACACACACACCTGAGGAGGACAGGTACATACACACACCTGAAGAGGACAGGTACATACACACACCTGAGGAACACAGGTACATACACACACCTGAGGAGGACAGGTACATACACACACCTGAGGAGGACAGGTACATACACACACCTGAGGAGGACAGGTACATACACACACCTGAGGAGGACAGGTACATACACACACCTGAGGAGGACAGGTACATACACACACCTGAGGAGGACAGGTACATACACACACCTGAGGAGGACAGGTACATACACACACCTGAGGAGACAGGTACATACACACACCTGAGAGGAGACAGGTACACACACACCTGAGGAACACAGGTACATACACACACCTGAGGAGGACAGGTACATACACACACCTGAGGAGAACAGGTACACACAGTAAAATAAACTCCTTTTAAAATGGAAATGGTCTTTTTTACGTTTGTCACATTGACTTGTCGTGTGGAACAGAGACGAGAGACTCAGAGCATCAAAACTCTGTTGTTGTGATAAAAAGTGGACAGTAGAGTCACTCTGATGTGCAGTGTGTTTATTTGTGGTCACACCAATGCGTTTCGACTACTTATGAGTGTTCATCCGGGCTGACAGAATGAGCAGCAGTGTGACACTATTTATAGACTCATGTGACCAATAATAAATAATAACAAACATGTGATTATTAAAAACAAAATATACATGTTGAATCCAAGTGTAGTGACAACATCTCGCTCTAACTCAACAGATAAGAGCCACTGTTCTGTGCAGGTTGGAGAAAAGTCAATAAAACATATTTCCCTGAGGTTACTCTTCATCAGAAATAGTTTCAAGTGAAAAATATCACAAGTAGAAAACCTGATGGACAATACATACATACTGAATTTTGGACTTCGCGCAATCCACACTGGGATGGGTCCTCTGAAAAAGTGAGCATCAAACCTCCATGTTTGTTTTCCCAGTGGGATGTGTCTATTGTTAAAGTCGACCTTTTCAAGTCTTTTGAACCATATCACTTTTGTTTCTGGTTCTGATATTGTCATGTCCATTCGGACATCGTAATTGTGTGGTTGTTGGATCCTAACAGCGAGAAACGGGCTTTGGAAGTTTGCGAACTCCATAAATGCAAAAGTGAATCAGATGTGTGTGACTCAAACCTCTGTTCAAACTGTTTCTCTTCCCAACAGAATTGAAAAATAGTGAAAGGTGAAGGTGATGGGCAGGATTGATCCACAGGAAGAACCAAAAAGAAAACATTTGTCTGACTAAATCATCCCGAGTTTACAGAGAACATTTTGTATGTGGAGCGACAACAAAACAAAATCTCGATCCTTCGCTCAACCTCGGTTATGAATTTAAAAAGTCAACACCAAAGTGAAAGGCTCCAACTGTTCACCAAGAAACACCTTCCACTGCAAAGAGACCAAGACGTGATGTTTCTGTAAAACCACAAGAACAAGAAAATGCAGCTCAGTCTGTTTGTCTTCTGCTCCTCTCCATTTACAAATGGGATTTTGTTTTGTTGTTGCTCCACATACAAAATGTTCTCTGTAAACTCAGGATGATTTAGTCAGACAAATGTTTCCTTTTTGGTTCTTCCTGTGGATCAATCCTGCCCATCACCTTCACCTTTCACTATTTTTCAATTCTGTTGGGAAGAGAAACAGTTTGAACAGAGGTTTGAGTCACACACATCTGATTCACTTTTGCATTTATGGAGTTCGCAAACTTCCAAAGCCCGTTTCTCGCTGTTAGGATCCAACAACCACACGATTACGATGTCCGAATGGACATGACAATATCAGAACCAGAAACAAAAGTGATATGGTTCAAAAGACTTGAAAAGATCGACTTTGACAATAGACACATCCCACTGGGAAAACAAACATGGAGGTTTGATGCTCACTTTTTCAGAGGATCCTTCCCTTTTTTTGATGAATACAGCATTTTCGAAACAATAAAAGGCGACATTCTGCTTCGTTATGGGTCCGGCTGAAGTCTGTAGCTCCGCGTTGACTCGGCGGCGCTCAGAGGAAGTGTTGGATTAGCGGCCGCTCTATCCAAACACTCTACACTAATTCAATTCAGACTTCCATTTGTGCTGAAGTGCGGCTATAAACAGACGCTCGCCGTGAGTGGTGACGGAGCGATCGGAAAAGTGAGGATTAAATAGGAGAGGAAGAGGAGGAAGAGGAGGAAGAGGAGGAGGGAGTGTGAATAATTGGCCTGATCTCCTGATTTGGAGACGAGATGCAGATTCAGTCGACTGGAGATTTTCGGCCTAAAAATGAAAAGATGTTTGCAGAAATAATTAAACGTCACTTCTGATCAACATTTTGTCACGAGCGAAACCCAGAGCTGTTCGTACACTGCAGTCACATCACACTGGGGGTGCTCTACATGTATGTGTGTGGCAGAATGTTTAGAAAAACAAACACAGCTTAAAAAGTTTTTCACAGGACTAAACCAGGACTGAACCAGGTCTAAAGAAGAACTGAATCGAGGATTGAAGCAGGACTAAACCAGGATTAAATCAGGACTAAACCAGGACTAAACCGAAGACTGAACCAGGACTAAAGTAGGTCTAAACCAGGTCTAAACCAGAACCAAAACAGGTCTAAACCAGGACTAAACCAGGACTAAACCAAGGACTGAAACAGAACTAAATCAAGACTGAATCAATGACTAAACTAGGACTAAACCAGGACTAAACTAAGACTAAACCAGGACTAAACCAGGACTAAATCAGGACTGAACCGGGACTGAACCAGGTCTAAAGAAGAACTGAATCGAGGATTGAACCTGGACTAAACCAGGATTAAATCAGGACTAAACCAAAGACTGAACCAGGACTAAAGTAGGTCTAAACCAGAACCAAACCAGGTCTAAACCAGGACCGAACTGAGGACTGAACCAGGACTAAACTAAGACTAAACCAGGACTGAACCAGGACTAAACCAGAACCAAACCAGGTTTAAACCAGGACTAAACCAGGACTAAATCAAATCAACGGTCAAACACCAAAAATGAGACAAACTGAATCAGATCTGTGGAGAAGAAACACAAATGTTCAAATCATTTCATATTTTCACATGAAGCTTTTGTCATTTCAGACTCACTCACAGCGTGAAGAGGAAGCACAACTTTTACTCGAGTAAAAGTACAGTCACACTATTACTCAAGTAGCAGTAAAAGTGTACTGTGATAGTACTCTGAAAAGTTACTCGAGTAAATATAACTGAGTATCATCCGTTCATTTGTTTTTCAATACAAAACCAAAAATAAGAAAACAAAAAATCAACTGTTTTTTTTTTCATTATTTGTCTCCAAAACCAAAATGAAAAAACAGAAAATGATTTGTTTTTTCAGTTTTCGATTTTGTGTTTAAATGAAAAATGGAAAAAACGGATAATGTGACTTAAACTGTGATGCCGGACTGAACCAGGACTGAACCAGAACTAAACCAGGACTGAACCAGAACTAAACCAGGACTGAACCAGGACTAAACCAGGACTAAACCAGGACTGAACCAGAACTAAACCAGGACTGAACCAGAACTAAACCAGGACTGAACCAGGACTAAACCAGAACTAAACCAGGACTGAACCAGAACTAAACCAGGACTGAACCAGGACTGAACCAGAACTAAACCAGGACTGAACCAGGACTAAACCGTTTTCAGTTCTGATCTGGTCTTGGTCTGGTCCCGGTCACAGTCATGGTCTAGTCCCGGGTTCAGCCCTGGTCTCAGTCCTGGTCTGGTCCTGGTCTGGTCCTGGTCTGGTCCTGGTCTGGTCCCGGTCTGGTCCCGGTCACTGTCATGGTCTGGTCCTGGTCTGGTCATGGTCTCAGTCCCGGCCTCAGTCCTGGTCTGATTCTGGTCTGGTCCCGGTTTCAATCCCAGTCTCAGTCTCGGTCTGGTCCCAGTCTCAATCACGGTCTGGTTCTGGTCTGGTCCTGGTCTCAGTCTTGGTCTCAGTCCCGGTCTCAGTCCCGGTCTGGTCCTGATCTCAGTCTTGGTCTCAGTCCCGGTCTGGTCTCGGTCTCAGTCCCAGCCTGGTCCTGGTCTGAGTCTTGGTCTGGTCCCGGACCTGGTTTAGTCCTGGTTCAGTCTGACATCTCAGTTTAAGTCACGTAAACTGTCATTATCAGTTTTTTCCATTTTTCATTTAAAAAACTAAATCAAAAACTGAAAAAACAAATCATTATCTGTTTTTTCATTTTGGGTTCATTTTGAAGAAAATCGTAGTTTTTTCCGTTTTCTTATTTTTGGTTTTATATTGAAAAAGGAATGAAATACAGATTTGGACGTCACATCTCATTTCTACAGTGAATCTTTGTGCTCCAGCTTCACCTTTTTATCTGTTTCATTCTTGCTTCTCTCATCTCTGTCTCATTCTTCTTCTTCTTCTTCTTCTTCTGCTCGTCACCGGACCACCTCTGCTGTTTCTGTCCACGCTTCTCCACCGCTCCACCTCCTCACCTCCGCCCGAAGACCACGAGAAGTCCCCCAGCCTCAGTAACATCTCCTCAGGCCCGGCCCTGAGCCTGTCTCCCCGGACCTCCCCCTTCGGCTCGCCCCATCACCGCTCACCCATCCCCTCCATCCTGCGATAGGGCCCGAGCTTTTGGGGGAAAATGACAAAAGTGTGATTTTTCTGATTGTAAGTGGTAAGAAGATCTGCACAGAAAAAAAACAAATCAAAACAAAACAAAACACAGGTCAAGACTGATGTTTTAATAAATAAATAAGAGCAGGTACATGCTGCAGAGCTCATCATGAACCCACCCCCAGTCTGATTCATCAGACGGTTTCACTTTGTGGAAACCGTCTGACCTCGCAGTATTAGGGTTTATTCGCTTTACGGTGGGCAGGTTCTTTTTTAATTTAACCAATCGCTGCTGTTTGGTCGTGATGTATGTAAAGTGCTGGAACGCTCAGTGGTGTCCAAGTAATTTCCGGAACAACAGCAAACAGAGCAGACAGTGAACATGTCTGTCAGAGATCATTGATTTCTGCGAGATGAATTTGTGAATTAAAGAAATTGTATTTGACAAAGGAAGTCCAAAGGAGGATAGTGTCTGCAGTCTGATGTCACAACTCAGGTTGGTTCAGCTCTTCACTGATTGGTCAGTGCGCGGTCGACAACTTCAGGGTTCTTGCAAACCATCTAGAGGGGGGTGGGCAAAACATTTTGGCTCGGGGGCCACATAGGTTCTAAAGTTTGACTGAAGGACCGGACAGGAGACAGAACATGACGTGTTAAGAGCCCAGCTCCATTGCACATTGCTCATGTAAGATGTATTCTGCACGACACACTGCAAGGTGCAAGAATAAGGTTTGCTCCACCGCACACCACAGGCGAGTGTGAGTCCTGAGCGCTTAGATCTCATTGAGAAACAGAACCTATGCCACGAGATTACGCACGTAAACACTGACACGTGCAGTAAAACCAACCCTTCAGACATTCCATGCCTTAAGTTTTATAACACAACATTCATAAGTCTTTAGACTTTGCTTTAAACCCACTCACACTGAACACTTCTACCTCACTCATGGTCCGAATAATGACTCCTGTCATTATAGTCCGAAAGAACACTTTCCCATAAAGCACTGCGGCCAACATAATACACCTCAGTGTATATATAGTGCGCCATCTACTGGGAAATGCCGGAAATGCAGGAAAAATACAACATCAACAAGATTTATTGTAGTAATTTATTCAAGTTCAGTGGGCCTAATTAACAGATTTAAAGGGCCGCATATGGCCCTCGGGCCGTAGTTTGCCCACCCCTGATCTAGTGTATTCTGATTCCTGAGCATGTTAATGAACAAACATGACACAACATGAATGTAAACACATCAGATCGTAGTCTAAGGCTCATTTCCATCCGTTGTCCCAAGAGTCTGGACTCACAGGGCGAAACAATAAAATATGACACACTCCATTCGCTGGAGAAAAATGAAATTGAGCAGAGGAACTAGATGAACCCCTGGTACCAGAAGAACATTTTTCATAAATTTTTCCCATCAAGTTTTGAGATGCCGGACTTTTGCGCCGCACACACCACAGAACTGAACCAGGACTAAACCAGGACTGAACCAGGACTAAACCAGGACTAAACCATGTCTATAACCAGGACCAAAACAGGATTTAACTGCATCTCCTCCCATACACTCCTCCTGAACCGCCGCTCCTGATCCCGTATATTAGAAGAGAAAAACACTGAGTCAATTGGTGAATCATTTTTGTCAAGTTGAATTTGAAGTGAAATGTTCTTAATTTAAGCCATTTTAACTTTCCTAGATTTTTTTTTTTTTTTTTTTTTTTTTTTTTACCGTGCGTCAGTAAAAGCTCAGGCCCTGGAGCTGCAGATGGCTCCAGGAGGTTTTGGTTTATTCATAGATCTGAAGTGCAGGAGTTTGTCAGTGAAATGTGTTTTTCTCTCTCGGTGTTTGTGGAGCAGATGTGACCAGAGAGTTTTAAAGTTCATCTTGTTCTTCACCTTTGGGCAACGGTCAAAGCAAAACATGAAAAACACAACCAGCTCATTGAAAACAGTTTGCAGTGGTCCAACAGTCCAACTTTAAAGGGTCTGTGTTACGATATTTTCTGATCTATGTTCAAATGTATTTTCCTCATCACAAACAGACCTGGAGTTGTGTTTTGTTTCATTCGCACATGTTCAAACAGAAAACACTCAGTTCCACCTTGTGATGTCATGCACAGCAAAAACTGAAGGGTTAAAATTTCAGGGTAAAATATTTCAGAGTTGTTTTTAACCCAAAAAGTGTTATTTTAACTATTTGAAAGTTAAATGAGGGTTCAGGTTGGTCCTGATATGGTTGAAGATAAGTCAACTTCCCTTAGTGTTAATTTGGCTCCTCCCACCCACCACTTCACACTCCCACGAGAGAAGACCAGTTTGAACCAGTTTTGTTCATAATTTCATTTTAAATTATACTAAAATACAGTGTAATAATAAAACACTGTGTGTGTTGTTTAGTTAATCTGGATAACCCTGAGCCGAAAGGTGAAGCTCTTGATTTACCGGTCAGTCTTCGTTCCTCCTCTCACCTCTGGTCATGAGCTCTGGGTAGTGACCAAAAGGACGAGATCGTGGATTCAAGTTCTCGAAATGAGTTTCCTCCAGGGTGTCTGGGCGTCTCCCTTAGAGACAGGGTGAGGAGCTCAGTCACACGGGAGGAGCTCGGAGTAGAGCCGCTGCTCCTCCACGTCGAGAGGAGCAGTTGAGGCTCGGGCATCTGTTCTGATGCCTCCTGGACGTCTCCCTCGGGAGGTGTTCCGGGCATGTCTCACCGGGAGGAGGCCCCGGGGACACACTGGAGGGACTATGTCTCTGGGCTGGCCTGGGAATGCCTCGGGGTTCCCCCGGAGGAGCTGGAGGAAGTGTCTGGGGTGAAGAAAGTCTGGGAGTCCCTGCTTAGGCTGCTGCCCCCGCGACCCGGCCCCAGATAAGTGGAAGAAAATGGATGAATGGATGGAGGATAACCCTACAAAGTGTTCTCCGTTTACTCTCAAAATGTTAATATAACTCTTGGTTTTGGGGTTAAACAGGACCTTTGGTCCAGTGTTACTTAATTAACTTTTCCAAAATGTTAAATTAACTTTAGAACAGATTGGACTCATACAAAACCTGAGAAAATGTTCAAACTGATTCTACAAGAGTCAATTTTAACACTCCCCTCTTTGCTGTGTACAGGAAGTGCTCCACTGTGTTTTTAAACTCACACACCTTCACTAAAATGATTTGGATCATTTCTCTCCTGGAATTGTCAAACTCTACTGAACTAAGACTACGTTTACACTAAAACGAATCACCGTATCACCATTTCAGAAACGATCTGCGTCCAGACACGTCGTTTCTGTGTCCGCAATCCTTCTCTATCCACACAGCTTTGAGCACATTTGTTTACATTTTACAGAAATGAAACTTAAAACCACATGACTCATTTGCATAAACTGAGCTCTCAAAAAAAACAGCTCGCTCCCTGTGCACTGATGTGGTTCAGCTTCTGTCGGACTAAAGGACACGACTCAGTGGAATATGAGTGTTCTTTCTGTGACAGAGGGATGTTCTGCTGATGGTGAGTCTGGTCTGTGTTTCTGTCGTGTTGTTGGTTCATGTGAAACTTTTCAGAGATTATACGTCTGCAGGTCGTACACACAGACACACGTTTATATGAATGGACAGATATTCTAGACTCTTAGTGTTTTGTTGGTGAATTACTTCGCGGCGCACGAACTACATCAGAGTATCAGTGTTTTCAGGTGTCCACACGGTGCCGGATCAGATCTGTACTCAGGTGAATTCCTGGGAGCTGGAGGCACCAGATCGTTCCGTCTCTGGAGCCGTTTTCAATCAGATTAGTGTGAACGAACACTGCACCCACAACGAAAACAACTCAAATACGAACTAGTGTGGACGGGGCCTAAACAACAGGAGATAAAAGCCTGACCTGTTCAAATGATTTAAAATATAAAAAAGGTTTAATTTTAGATAAAAGCCGCAAATGATAAAAGCCAAATTTTACAACCACGTTCACTTGGTGTTTTTAAGCTCCACACACCTTCAGTAGAATCATTTGGATCTTTACTGAACTAAAAGTAAAAGGAGCTGTTCACTTGAAAACTACCACTTCATGACATCACAAGGTGGAACAGAGCATTTTGACAGATAAAGTTTTACTCAAACATTTTTAAATGAAACAAAACACAAACTCCAGGTCTGTTTTTGAGGAGGGAACATCAGAATAACAGATCAGAAAAGCAGTGTTACAGAACATTTGTGGAGTGTTCACCACCTGCTTATCTCCACGGAGACAAGTAGATCTGTGGAGAGGCGAGCTCGCAGTAAGAATTGCGATTAGATGCGATGTGATTAGTTTTGTGATTTCTGTTTCAATAATAAGATTCTGTTTAAAGTTCACATTTTAAACTCTTCCAGAAGAAATGACAAAAACAGCTGAAACATGAACTGAGGGCAGTTTTTATGCAGAATAAAACAGGAAATCTCGTTAATTTGTGGAGGAAATGATGGTACTTCAGAAATGAGCAGTGATTTGCTGATTTCTTCCAGTCAAATTGTGATTCGATTGCAGTTCATCAGGCAGCAGATTTAAGGCACAAAACAAATAAAACAAATACAAAATGATGTACAGAGGACGTCATTTTCACATTTCCATCACCGTGTTGCCTTTGATTATTCTGAAAATGCTGTATTCACAGAAAACAACGTACGAACATGTTTTCAAAGTTTAAATTTTGGAATGACTTTTGAGTCAGATAGTTCAAAAAACACTTTTAAAACAGCTAGAAAACAATTATAAATCAAAATATCAAATTAAAAACTCAAACTGGAAAAGTAAATTTGCTTCCCATTGGTGAATTTATGTTTGACGGACAGATAAGCAAATATACAGCTGACCCTGCGTTCCATTTTCTTCCAACTCCCATTTGGACCTCGGATTTGACGTCAGACTTTTGACGATTCGATATCACGATATTTCGGTTATTGTTACATCCTTAACTCTCACACTCTCCTCGGGGTCACATTGACCCGAAGAAAGATTTTTTTTTTCCTTCCCGCTCTCT